CCGTGCCACCCTCCGCAACACAGGCCGTGTATTTTCTGATTTCGGGCAGGATTCTGCCTGTTTGGAAAAAGTGTCATTTGATCTTTGGTGTTTGTCGGTCTGCCTCAAATGTTAGAAGTGCTTTTGAATCAGGTTAGTGACCTCGTTTTGTCTCGTTTCGTTTTGCTTCGAATGTTTTTCTGCTCAAGTGAAAGATGCACACTCTGTTTTTCTTGGTAGCGGACTTCTGTGAAGCGCCACGGCTCGCCTGTGCAAGGCAGGAGTTGAGAGTTCTTCTGGAAGGTACCTGTGCCAAGAAAGCAACTTTGACCTGTTTGGACCAGATCCTGTTTGTCCTATAAGTCTGCCTGCAGCTCAAAGGTGGAAGTGTTCTAGCTGCTGTGTCTGGAACGCCTGTTCGGCCACCAGTGCCGCCGATGTCCACTTTGGGTGCGAACCAACTAGCACACGCGGCTCCAATTGTGGGGTCGAACAAGCTAAGCAATTTTGGCTTCGCTTGAGTGGCCCCCCTCTGTACAAGAAGTGGTACAACAGGAACCGACCGGGAAAGAAGGAACGCCAGCAAGGCAAAACAACCAGAGGAGTTCTTCCACCTCCTAGTGTCTGGCAAGAGTCAAGACCCAAAGGCAAGGAGAGCAAAGGGAAGGACAAGGAAAAGAGAAGAGCCAGCACAACAAAGGAAAAGGAAAAGGGTCCGGCAAAGCGGAAGGCCAAGCACAAGTGCCTCCGACGCCACTTTCCAACCTGTAGGGCGAGTGGGAATTTACATGGCACAGAGCCTGCCTTTTGGTGCTGCTGCCACCGCCAAGCCAAAGTATGCAGCCAGTAAAGTGGCATCGCTCGCGGCCGGCACAATCCAGCCTCTTGGAGCTGCAACCGGAGTCTTCAGTTCGACACGTACAGTATGGCTTGATACCGCAATTCTGAAACAGGTCTCAGCTTCCGACTTGGCAGTCTGTCGCATTTCTACTTCCAGAACCATACCTCCGACGGTTTGTAGCGGAGCACACGAGCGATCGTTGTCCCGCTGAACTGCGCTTGCGAGGGCCGCGAGCACGAAACGGGCTGCTCAGCTTTATTGCCCTTGCGAGACCTCCTGGGAGGGAAGCTGGGCGCAAGTTCTTCATGATACGATGGCGCATGTGGCACTTGCTGTCACTATGTTTGTTTCCTACTTCCAATGAGCGCTATTCAGCATTGCGGGGCCCCTCTTGGTGGCTGGAAAGCACATCGTTCATGGTTATTCGACCAAGGCGCTTCGCCTGCGAGCCTCTTCCATAGGGAAGCTGGACGTGCAATCCCTTGCAGTACACACCTTGAAGTGCTCTGTCCCGCTTTTGCTAGGTCTCTCGCATGAACCGGGCAATTTTTGACGACGGCCATTGCGCGACCCAAGTCTTACGGGGAGCAAGGTCAGTGGATCCGGGGGTAGGTCGCAGCTTCTGTTTCACTTTGTGTAGCAGCTTAGCAACTTCTATTGCTTTTTGCCAGTTCTTCTGTTTCTTACTGGGACCGAGTGCAGCAACGGCTGTCTTTGAGGCCAAAAAACCAACCTGTTTTGAGCTGCAACATAGTTCAGCATAAATGAAGTGCAGCGGCCCACGGTTCCTGGCCTTGCTCCCCATAAAGTGGATCGCGCAATGGCAAACATGAGAATTGGTCCTGCCGCTCGAAAACTTAGATGGCGCAATAGCTCTTGTAAAAACATTGTTTGCAGCCCGGAATGCCATTCGGGCGGAGTTAGATTCCAGAATCCTTCACACGCTTCCATCTAAGAGCAAAGAAGCCTCATAGTCGAATGGCTAGGACGCACACATTCCCAGAAAAAGAAGCGCAGAACCATGGGAGTGTGAGTGTAGGTTCGCACTGCCAAGACGGCGCAGGAGCCGCCAGTGTTGCAATGCATTACAGCCGCATGGTCGAATGATCAAAGCCCGCCACCTGAGAAGAGGGACTTAACGCCATAAGAGTAAGCGTGTATCACGCTCCAGGCCCAGCAGCGCTCAAAATTTCATTTAGAAGGTGCCGCCAACAGGCTGCCTCCTCCATGTGGTCATTATTGATGGCGGTATACCACTGCAGGGATGGCTGCCGTCTCATGGTCGCGCGCCAGTCCCAGAGATGGGTCCAAGCATTGAGAGCATACACTCGCGGCGTTCGTGGCGTCCAAGCAGCTGTGGCTAGAGTGGGGACTAACTTGTATCCCAAAAACGGATAACGGCAGCCCCGCCCACTCTGTTTCCGGAAGTGTCGGGCCGCCTCGATCCAGTCGTCGAAGTTGAAACCCTCGCTTAGAGCAAAAAACGGATCATAGTGGCGCGAGCCACCGGCACGTCAGCGAAATCGCGTCGTAGGACATAGCGGCCCTCCAGCTTGTAGACGGTGGTGACATCGCCGGAGTGTTTCAGCTTGTGTGCCCATGAGCGGGGTTCCCGCAAGTAGCTCCACTTGCCTCCAGTCGGTATGAACAATGCTGCGTGGCAGAGTCGTGAGCAGGGCCAGCTGAGCTGCAATAGTGCACCACTTCAGCTGTCCAATCGTCCAAGAAGACAGAGTCGAGTGATATCTTGTGGTTCCTACCGCCTTCCATGGGCTGCGAGAAACTCAATGGTGACCGCGTTGAAGCTCCACAAACAGAAAGAAGTTTGTTGGACAGTGAGAAAGCGGACACGGAGTAGTGGGACACGGAGTTGCTGAAACTGTAGCAGTTGCACGAATTCGTGACTTCATGCGACGTTTTGGCACAATGAGTCAATGAGACACAACAGAGAGTCGAAGAGCTTCCACATGCTCTCAACCTTTTGTTTCTTTTAGAATGATCCTTCCAGATCGTTTTCTCCTTTGCTCATTTCCTTCAAGTCTTCCATAAATTTCTTGTCCGAGTGGAACGAGCCTCCACAGCAACTTGAAATCTGTCCGAGAGTGTTCGAATCAGGAGAGAATAAGCACTCTGAAAAGGTGCTGAACTGGCGTTCAGTTCAGGACTGACACTCAGAAAGCACGACCTCTTTGCTTTTATGACATTTTTTACCTTGCTGCTTGTGCCGAAATCTCCATGTTCCGCTGAAGGCTGTATTTTATGAGGCGGATTACGCATTTGGCCGGTAAAGAGCTGCTGAGGTGAGGCCATACGCCATGGCAGACGGCTGCAATCCGAAAGAGTGCACGTCTGCCGTTGTGGCAGTCACTCGTAGTAGTGTCACCATTGATTCGAGGCGAAAAAGCTCCTCAAACCGGTCTTCCGTGAAGACCAAGTGCCAACTGTGCAGTTTGAGGACAAGATGCAAATGTCAGATTTAAAATGAGACATGCTAACATGCTTGTTTTCTACTAGTCGTCGCATGTGCCTTTACGTTGTTGAAAACATGGACACAGACACATGTCACAAATCCTGCTCTTTCTTCTATACACTGTGGCAAGCTCAAGCGCGGAATGTCACTCATCGGGATTGTGATTCGTGGCGAAGGATGGTCGCATGTGTCACCGATCTTCAGCACATCCAGATAATATTTGCGCGAAGCCATTTAAAGCGATCAAAGGCAGCTTTGCTGTCCACATCCAAATCCTTAAAAGAGAAAACATGAAGCAGAAAAACGAGGTCGGAAATACTTGTGTCTGTGTTGTCAAGAGACCAAAGTTAGCACGATGGGTGTCAAAAATACACCTGATATGCGTACATTCTTGTGAAAATCCAATATGAACTGAAAGTTATTCAAATTGTCTCAAGTTGGAATCTGGACACATGTTGGAAACGAAACAACGTTTTAAATCAGGCAAGGCACAAACCGTCATGTTGTCCGACTTGCATCCTGTACTGTAAGCACCAGTAGGCATCTGAAGAGACTTGTCGCAAAGGCTGTTTTTGGCGCCTGACTCGGCCCTCGAAGGGCGTGGATCTTGCACCGCCTGAGATTTGCGGAAAGCGCCGTTCAAACCACAAGGAAGTTTCTTGTTTTGGTTTTGGAAGCAAGGAGCTGTGGACTTCATTTTGCCAAAAGGCTTCTGAGCGAACTAAAACTGCTGCAGAAAAAACATGGAGCTGGAAGAACAAGAGGTCATCTACGCTACGAATCGGTAATCGAGTGTTGGCCATCCTGGCTTCGACGATTGCTTGGTGTCTCTTCCGTGGAAGTCCAAAAAGTGAAGTCTGAGCGTAACGCATGTCGGTTACGACTGTGTGGCAAAGCAGATGCATTCTCTGCATTTTCACTTCCTCTGCATTCTGCAAGAAGTTCTCGTAACAGACCCAGTGAAAGCACGGCATCGAAGCAAGTACCGCTAGTACGTCTGACAATTCAACTTCCTTAGATTGGCTGGACATCGCAGCAAATGCCAGCTACCTTGTGTGTTGCGGCGGGACATTCCACCATGATGTAATCCGGGTTGGTCAACGGCCACAAATTCGTAAATTCCAGACTGCCAACTTTCAAGCATATCGCACAGTGTCCTTGTCATCCGCAGAGGAGAACTGTGTTCTGTGAGCTGTTTTTTTCACTTAGAGGAGTTGCTGGGCATTTTCAGCCGGCACTCCTGAATTGAAGGGTTTATGATGGATTGATGATGCATTCTTTTTGTTAGCTGAAGGCTCAGAAAAGCTTGTTTGTCGGAAAGAAAGCTGTCAGTGCGAGAAAGCAAAACAGACGTATTTACTTGGAGGATCATGGGACTTAGTAAGTCAGGTTATAAGTACCCTCATTGAGGTCAAAAGTATAGTTATCTTAGTAATAACCTGGTTACTAAGTCCCATGATCCTTTAAGTAAAGCTACAGGGCTTGCCTTGAAAACCTTCCAAAAGCTTCAACCCTAAACGCTACTGGGGACCCTAAATATTAGGTGCCGTATTATATTAGGGACCCAAAGGGATCATAATTTTGACAACCACCCATGTAGCTTGCTCTTAAACCCTACACCTGACTGAAATCTTCCACCCTGTACCCCGATAAAGGTTTAAGGATTATCTCTGAACCCTGTATCCTACAGATATCCGGCTGCCACGCGCGATGAACATGTTCTGCTGCACAGAGCCTGACAAGCGGGAGGAACTCCAGGCCACTTTTTCAGGAATCCATCTTATGTGAAAGAGGGCTCCATAGTCTGGAAAAAGTCTGTTCAATGTATCCCTAAACCCTAAAAAACTCGAAACCCTTGCTTCGAGACTGTCCGGGAGGCCGCAGGCATAGATCCTAAACCCTGCACCCTGAACCCCGAAACCCTAAACCCTAAACCCTAAACCCCTTAATGACAGGATCCGGATATTGGGCTCTCTGGGAAAGCGGTCCTGGAGGATCATGGGACTTTGTAAGCAAGGTTGTAGCTATAAGTACCTACTTAGAGGATCATGGGACTTAGTAAGTAGGTTATAACTGGGGTTATAAGTCCCCTAAGTGGGGTTATCCTAGTTATAACCTACTTATAACCTTACTTACTAAGTCCCATGAGCCTTCAAGTAGAGACTCCAAGATTAAGGAGTATACTATGCATCATATGGGAGTTTCCGAAAATAGGGGACCCTAGTGTAATACCCCAAATAGTAGCTTATGAGAAGGACCCTAAAAAAAGGTACCCCCAATTTTCGGAAACTCCCATATTAGGGGTCCTATTATAATGTGAAGGGTATTCCTTAAAGGGATATTGGAGTTTCTCGGTACCGTAGTTGGGCATATACTAGCTACCTCATGTATAGCCCTAGCTTCTAAGTCCCATGATACCTAAGGCTGTAAACCCTTGAGATCCCTTGTAGAACCCTTTCAGAAACCTTTAAGTTACCAAGTCCAATAGGTCCTTTATGTGCTAAACCCATATAGATCCTCTTAACCAACCCTTGAGCCCGTGAAGTTTCTAAATTTCACGATCCTTTCATCTTTGCACCCTTTTTCGACCTTTCTAAGGAACCCTTTAAGTACTGGCAGGGGACTTATCCAAGCCCAAGCCTTAAGCCCTAAACCCCTAAACCCTTTGAACCCCTCTAAACCCAGAGCCTTGAGCCTTAAACCTCTGAACCCCTAAAGCCCTGTAAACCCCAAGCCCCTAAGCCCTAAACCCTGAACCCTTAAACGGCCCTTATGGATGCCTTTCAAAGAACCCTTAAGGGAACCCTTGTAGAACCCTTTAAAAGGAACCTTGAAGGGAAGCTTTATAGATCCCTTTAAAGGAACCTTTAAGGAATCCTAAGCCCTAAACCCCCTAAGCCCTCAAAGCGGGCCCCTTCACCGCGACAGCTCGAGCTGGACCCGCACAGTGAGTGACTGGGCCGCCCTTCCGGGGCTTTGAAGATTTTCAAGGATTCCTGTAAAGGGATTCAAAAGGGTTCCTTTTAAGTAAGAGATATTGGAGTCTCCGGGTAAGGGCTCCTGGGTCTAGGGGCTTCCTCTTCAGTGGTTTTCCTTGTAAAGGTTCCTTTTCGGGTTCCTTGAAAGGGTTCGGGGTTCAGGACGTGGGAGTTTACGGGGGTTCCTGTAAAGGGATCTACAAGTGTAGCTTTGACGGCTCCTAGAAGGGTCTAGGAGTTTAGCAATTAGGAGTTTAGGGGTTTAGGTTTGTCGTCCAGGGTGTAGGGGTTTAGGGGTTTAGCGATCAGGCTTTAGTGGGTCGTTGCTTTACAGGGATCTATAGGTGTTTACTTGAATGTTCATGGGACTTAGTGACTAGGGCTATGGGCAAGGTAGCTATACATCTACTTGCTTGTAGCCCCGAGTTAGGTACTTGTATAACTTTACCTACTAAGCCCAATGATCCTCCAAGTAGAGTTTAGGGTTTGGGGTTTTGGGGTTAGCAATGAGGGTTTAGGGGTTTCGAGTTTAAGCTTGGGAGGTCTCATAATGGTGGAAGGGCGTTGTGGGGCAAGGGCGCTGTGGGGTTCTGAACGGGTTCTAGGAGTGTTCAGTAGCTTTCGACTGTGGCTCCAAGTTTCATGGTTCTACCTTCTCATTCAGACCCTCATCCCAAACCCCAAACCAAAAAGCCCAACCCCAACCCTAACCCTGATCCGTAACGTTGCCGAGCTAGCAGAAGAATCCTTGTAAATTCCTCATAGGAGCCCTTCAAGGGAGCCCTTATAGCAACCCTTATAGGAGCCCTTGAAAGGGGTATAGAAGCCTGATAGTAGATAAAAGGTTCCTGATTATACAGAAAGAACAAAGGGGCCCCAAACCCTGGTCTGATGATTAAGGCCCCTATTACCGAGCATTAACTTTCACGACCACCTAAATCCAGGTGGCGAGTGTGAATTTCGAAACCACACATGAGTAATGTTTAAGGGTCCCTATAAGGATTCCTATAAGGGATCTACAAGGGTATTGTAAGGAGTTCTATAATGTAGGAAGCTGATTAAGAAACCTTGGGCCATCTTGGGCCTTTATTCGGGTTTCTTATATGAAACCTACTATTTTCGGAGGATAGGCCAGGGTTTCTTAGTCAGGTCCCTACATGGGAGTTTCCCAAAATAGGGGACCCTAATATAAGTAGTAGGATCCTTATTATAAGGAGGTACCCCTAATTTTCGGAAACTCCCACATTATTCACTGTTGAGGCTCGGCAGACTTTTGCAGCACTGATCAGAAATTGTCTCCTGCTGGACTAGGTGTCCCACGCAACATTAATCCAGCAACGTTGCATTTCTTAGTTCTTTGCGGCTTATGAGTGCTCAACATCCACAACATGTAAAACCGACTACCTGACTGCCGCTAGCCATCAGCACCTGACCTACAGATCTTCTTGGTACTCAGTTGGACTGCCGCGCTGGGAAAAAGGTGCTCAAAAAAGCCTGCCCTACACCCTAAACCGTGGGGATATGTGCGGACCGAGGTTCCATAAAGGGGAAACGCCGGCCCACAGAGCCGCCGAGCACGGCCATGTGGAAGCTTTGCAGCTGCTGCGGGAGGCCACCTGTTCTTCGACAAGTTCGCCTGGTACTTGTAAGTTGGGGAGAAAAGTCTGTGCTCTAGATTTCCGGATCGTGGCGGAGTTCTCCTGGGCTGTTTATTGTGCCTGCTGCTTTCTTGGGAGGGGATCTGTGCTGCGCAGGCTAGGGCCGATCTGGCGGCCAAGGACGAGGAGGGCGTCACCCCGGCCTTGCTCGCCGCTCTGAACAACCATGCCGATGTGCTGCGCCTGCTGCAGGAGGCCATGGCATGCCATAGCATGCAGGATCTTGCGGTCTTTTGGATGATGAGATCTCGGTGGTAGAAGAACTGATAGCAAAGAGAGTGATTTGGAAGCTGTGAATCCGAAGTAGTCGCGAGCGAATACCCCTGTAAGCACAAGTGGAGTTAGAGGAGAAAAAGTGTCCAGGGCTACCCGCTTCTCCGCTCTGTTTCTCCTCAGAGCCTTCCCTCCCCCCCTTGCCGGAGGCTGGCGTGGATCTTGGCGCAGCAAAGAAGGAGGGGCCTAAGCGGATCACGTTGGAAAAGCGGAGGAAAGTGACGTGCGGTGTCTCTGTTCTCTGTTTTGAAGGACGGCAGAACGCCCGCCCACGCGGCTGCTCGGAAGGGACACCTCCAGGCCCTGCGGCTTCTCTCGGAGGCCGGGCCGCAGACTTCCAGAGCTCTCTCTAAGCAAGGAGGCTCGGAGAAGAGGCTTTTTTTAGGGGACGGGATGGAGAAACTCCTTCTTAAATCTTGTGACAACTTCTGAGTACAAGAAACGCGAGATGCCCCGATTGCCCTCCTATCCCCTTTGGACATCACGCTGCGTGCAAGGCCTGCCCGCAAGGTTGTAGGAAGGTTTCCTGATGCCCGTGGCCTGAGCAAGAGTTCCATCGGTGAGGGAAGCTATATATGTATATAATATATATATATATAGATACATAACCTTTTTATATTATATTATATTATACTATATTATATTATACTATATATATATATATATATATCTATGTATATATTATACAAACATATCTTCCTCCACGGCTGCCATGGCGGCTTCGAAGTTTTGATCCTCTGGGATGCCTTCGCATGCGGGCGCCGCGTGACGTTGCCGATAGTTAGTTCTAGTTCCCCTTCTGCATGTGTATCAGAATAAAAGCCCTCAAGTTCGCACCATACTTGTGGAGCAGCTCGTCGAAACGTTAAGCTGGACAAGCGAAAGGCCCAGAGATTGGAGCGTAGTCTTCAAACAGCACATCGGTAGAGCGGTTGACGCCCCCCCTTTCCACGGAGGCACTCTGGCCGAAGGCTTTCTGTGGGATCGCAAAAGACGTGTTTTCTCACACTCTCGTCAGTTTATGCCAAGCCCTTCTTGCGGAGGCCCGGGCAGACCTGGGCTGCGCGTCCCATGATGGGACGACGCCGGCCCAGCTGGCCGCCCAGGGCGGCCATGGAGAAGCTTTGCAGCTGCTGCGGGAGGCCGCCGGAAAACACCGCCTCTCCACGCTTTTCGGTGGGAGCCCCACACCCCCGGCTCTCGAGGCTGTGCGACAGGCCTGCCACGTGCAGAAAAGCAACATGATGTGTGGATATATACTCCGGGGTAACAGCAAGCAGGCCTGTCTGTAGCACAAGGACAGGGTGATTGACGTGCAACCCCCCCTTTCTGGCCGAAGACTTTAGGCGGGATCGCAACACATGTGTGTCTCGCTTTCTCGTCAGTTTATTGCCAAGATCTTCTTGCAGAGGCTCGGGCAGACCTGGGCCGCGCGTCCCATGACGGGACGACACCCGCCCACATGGCCGCCGAGCACGGCCATGCGCAAGCTTTGCAGCTGCTGCGGGAGGCCGCCGGTTTTCGAGGTGAGAAGCCCTTCAGGTTAGCAAGGCCACTGTTCTTCGACAAGTTCGCCTGGTACTTGTAAGTTGGGAAGAAAAGTCTGTGCTCTAGATTTCCGGATCGTGGTGGAGTTCTCCTGCGTCCTGCGTGCGGAGTGTTTGTTGTGCCTGCCGGCCTCAAGCCATCTCGTGTGTATGTGGCCAACGATTCTGATGTTTCTGGGCGGAAGAAGCTAGCCGTGGCTGCGCAGGCTAAAGCGGATCTGGCGGCCGCGGACAAGGAGGGCGTCACCCCAGCCATCCTCGCTGCTGCGAATGGCAGTGCCGACGTGCTGCGCCTGCTGCAGGAGGCCATGGCATGCAGGATATTGCGGTCTATCAGATGATGAGATGTCCTGTGGACAGACTGATCGCAGGTGAAACTTGAGAGCAAGTGATTTGGAAGCTCTGAATCTGAAGTAGCTGCAAGCGAAAGCACGGCAAGCACAAGTGAGAGTTGGAGGAGCGTAAAATCTGTTGCCACGCGCACGTCTCCGCCCGCTCTCTCTTCTTGCCTTTCCTGTTTATGGGCGCAGGCTGGCGTGGACCTCACTGCAGCAAAGAAGGACGGGCCTGAGCCGAGCATATCGTAAGAAGCGGAGGAAAAGTGACGGGGTGGTTCTGTTTTGAAGGACGGCAGAACGCCCGCCCACTGGGCTGCGCGTTACGGGCACGTCGAGGCCCTGCGGCTAGTCCTGGAGGCCGGGCCACAGACTTCCAGAGCTTTCGTTTCAAGGAAGCGAGGATTTGAAGGGCAGAAACTCGCTACGGTGGTTTGCTAAGCGTTAATCGTGCCGAAGTCCAGGTCCACAATTATAATGCCCGCTACCATTGCCATACCGTACAGGGCATCTGAAAGGTCTGGAGCTTGCAACGAAAGCCCGACACGAAACTTGCCAAGCCACGAAATCATCAGATCAGCTGGGGCTGAAGAGCAGGGCGTCGATTCTCTGCGCACAGGGTTGTCCAGCAATCCAGCACGCGGCCAAAAAGCGCCCGCAGGTGGCAAGCCAAGCGAAAGGGCCAGAGATTGGAGCGCAGTCTTCAAAGCCCCGGACGCCCAGAAAGTGCTTCTGAATTCGCAGGCGAGGGCAGATCCAGCGGCCGCGGACGAGCGGGGCGCCATGCCGGCTTGGCTCGCCGCGCTGAGTGGCCACGCCGGCGTGCTGCGCCTGCTGCAGGAGGCCATTTCATACAGTGGTCCAGGTTCTCGCTGTGGATCAGATCCAGAATCATGACGTTTCGAATGCAAAAAAGACAGATCGCAAAGTGAAACTTTAGTGATTTGGAAGCTCTGAATCTGAAGTAGCCGCAAGCGCATACCACGGTAAGCACAGAGGCGGAGTTTTCAGGAGCGTGGTGACCAGTGTCCGACTGCCGCACGCTTCCCGGGTCGGCTTTGTCTCTCTTCACTGCCTTTTTTGCCCCTGGGCGGAGGCTGGCGCGGACCTCGCTGCCGCAGGGAAGGACAAGCTTGAGCTGAGCATGTCGAGAGAAACGTGGAAGAAACGTGACGTGCTTTTTTTTTTTGGAAGGACGGAACAACGCCCGCCCACATGGCTGCACAGCAAGGACACCTCGAGGCGCTGCGGCTGCTCCTGAAGGCCGGGCCACAAACATGCAAACCTCTCTTCTCAAGGCAGCGAGGAGGCTCAGAGCAGAGGCATTTGGGGCCCTTGAAGGGATTTTGGAGAGAGAAGCAATCTTTTTGCAACTTGTAACCGCTCCAAAAAACGGGGCCGGTAGAGAAGCTTTCAAGGCTGCTGAGGGCCGTACCCTGGCAGCCCTTATCGGAACTCTTTTCTGCTGCTTTAGGGCCCCAGCCACTCCGGAGCCAGGAGGCGGCAAGCGAAGCGAAAGAGCTTAGGGTGATTGGAGCCAGGAAAGCCAGAATCTGGTGGTCCGGATTTTCTATAGCTGCCTTTTTGGAAGCTGTTTCAGCTGGATAAGTGCACGGAGAAACAAGATTCCTTGTTCCACGGAGCCCGGTCTTCAACGCCCGAGATGCCTGCGTACTGCTTCCTGAAGTTGTGTAAGGATCTCCGCTGTAAAGGTGTGTGGATCCCTGCAAGACCAATTATATTTGTGTCAATTAGCCTCTTGGCATGTCACTCTCAATCGCTCCTGTTGTCACCTGGTGTTGGACTCTTGTCTGTGTTATGTGATGTTCTGCAGGCTTCTCTGAGCTATCTGTGCAGGTTTTGTGCCAGCTACAGACCTGGCTGCAGCCTTTGGGTCGGGGGAGGTTTCCTAAGCTGCGTAGTGAAAAGCTTTCCGTGAATCAGTTTGAAGCCTTGTCCGCGTTTCTGCGTGATCCCTTCTGTCGTGGCATCACACCCTCCTACACGGATGCCGAAGTCGAGGCCACCTGACGCCCGTGCCACAAACTCCAGGAATTGCCATTGCCAGATTTCAGAGGGCAGGAGCTTGCAGCGAAAGCCCATCACGAAGCATCCCAGTTCACAAAGCCAGATCCACAAGCTCAGAAAGAAAGCAGCATGGTGCTTTGAAATCCCCTCTTCCGCGGAGGGCCACGAGGCCCTCGAACCGAAGACTTGTGAGTGCAAAAGACCTAGGCCGCAGAGTCACCCGCCCATCTAAGCAACTCTGACTCTGACGACAGTACTTTGGGAAGGATTCGCCGGCAAAGTTGTGGGATCCCAGAAAAGTCTTGTGTCGCTTTCCCGTCAGTTTATTGTCGCGGGCTGCCGTCCTCGTGTTCTTTCCGCCTTCCCCCAAGAAGGGTCCTCCGAGCCAAGTTTGCGCTAAAAGGATCTGGTTCACATCTAAATCGCGCGAGTCGCTCGAGACGTTGGCCACTCGCACCTGCGAATGTTAAATCTACTGAGCCACAATGGCTTCCTAGCCGTGACAAGGGCGCCGAGGCCCCGCTTTTCGAAGGTCATGGCCTCATGGCCTTTGGGCCTTCAGGCGCCTGGCGGCAGACCCCGGACCCCTCCTCTCGACTCTCGAAGCCCTTCGAAGGAATTCTTGTGGTGAGGCCTAGGGCTAGGGCCCCAGGGGGGGTACGATGGAAGAATCGGCTCCTTCTTCAACTCCCGTCAGCCTGCTGCCTTTGCAAGCCTGGAGGTCCCCTAAGGGCGCATGGATCTGCAGTGAAAGCTCTCAAGCCGAGAGACCCCTGTTCTTGGACCAAGGTACGTTGTAAGTTGGGAAGACAAGTATATAAGCTGGAGATGTCTAGATCGTGGCTTAGTTCTCGTGCCTCGGCGTGGAGTGTCTAATTATTGAAGTGCCTGCTGGCCTCAAGCCGTCTCGATTGCCATTGCCCGCCTTTTTGAAAGGAACGTGCGTGCGGCTGGTTGCTCCGTTTCCGCGTGAAAGTAATGTGCAGGCGAGGGCCGACCTCGCGGCAGCAAGCCAGACGGGCGCCACCCCGGCCGTGCTCGCTGCTGCGAATGGCCATGCCGACGTGCTGCGCCTGCTGCAGGAGGCCATGGCAGCAGCGGTACATCAGATCATGAGATTTCGATGGTAGAAAGATTGATCGCAGGTGAAGCTTGAAAGCGAGTGATTTGGAAGCTCTCAATCTCAAGTAGCTGCAAAGCAAGAGCGAATACCACGGTAAGCACAGTGAGAAGTTAGATGAGCACAGGGTCTATTGCCACGCGCTTCTGGCCACAGGCTGGCGCGGACCTCGCTGCAGCAATGCAGGCCGGGCCTGAGCCGAGCATGTAGGCAAGAAGCCGAGGAAAAGTGACGGGGTCTTTAAACTAAGGATTGTACCAAAGTTCATAAAGGGAGTCATCAATATGATTAAATTCGTGAATATGATTTAATTCGTGTGCATCCATATGGTCCCGGGTGGGTCTGTTTTGAAGGACGGCAGAGGGCCGGCCCACGCGGCTGCGGTGAGTGGACACCTCGAGGCATTGCGGCTTCTCCTGGAGGCCGGGCGACCGGAGGCTCAGAGGCTCAGAGCAGAGGCTCAGAGAAAGAGGAGTTGAAGGGAGTTTTTGGGAGGGGAGAGCGACGCTTGTTGCTACAACCTGCGACCAACGTCGAAAGCGATATGCCCACGAGTAAGGTCGAAGGCATGGCGGTAGAGAAGCTTTCAAGGCCCCGGCTGGGCCCCGGGGCTTTGGGCCCGGCAGCTCGTCGGAAGTCTGTGAAACTGCGTTGAGGCCCGGAGGATCCCGGAGGCTGTGAAGCCCCCCAGACGCCTGCAGTCGTCAAAACCCCAAAAAACGCCTGCGTACTGCTGAAGTTGGCAAGGATCTGCGCTGTAAACCTTCTGTAAAGCTCCGGGATCCATGCAAGACCTCTTGGCATGTCACTCTGAGCCGCTCTTGTCCTTCGTTTTTCGGGATGTGTTGTCGCCTGGTGATGGACTCTTGCGCTTCATGCTCCTTTCTTTGAGGTAGGACAGGCTCTGCGTCAACAGCAAACAGACCTGGCTTGTCTGGCTGTGGCTGAGCCGCGCCGACTCCTCCCTCTCCCACCACCACGAGAGACCTCCGATCCCATTTATGCACGGATGCTGTGCTGCAGGCAAGACCCGTCCACAAGGTTGCAGGAAGCTCTGACCTCCGTGTCTCCCAGCGCGGCGTCGTCACGTTGACTATTTGGGATCCCTTCCCATGTGGGGGCCGCAGAACTTTGCCGCTGCCGTGCTTCCAGTGCACAACATGTCGGAATCCGAAGTAACTGTGTACAGACTCAAGCCACCTCCTGAAAAAGGGGCGCACGAAAGATTCGCCGACCCTTTAGGGAGTAATCGAAGGGCCCAGCTAACCCCGCCCCAAACAGCTCTGTCTCACGATGAGTGCTGGGGTGAGCCCTGCTTTCTGATCTGAGCTCGGGATCCTTGTAAGACCATCTTCGCACCTGTGCTTCGTCGGGAACTGGTGCTTGGTCTTGGACTCCTGCATTTTGTGCTTGTTGTCTTGGCTTCTCTAGGGTATGCGGCGAGCAAAAAGAAGCACTAAAAAGAAGCACTTGCTAGCACGCCTTTCTACGAGTGTGCTTTGCTGCTCCCGTCGAACAAGTCTTGAGCAGATCCGAATAGAAGAGCTATTTGCCGGATCGAGGTCCCTTCCGTGCGGGGTCTCCGGGACTCCCACGATCTTCCAGGTAGTGTGGCATCTCTAGAGACCCGAAGAGTCGTCTGCCACAGGTAAACCCGAAGCCAGGTGGGGCATCCGAAAGATCAAGTTTCTCAACAATCAGATCGGGGGGGCCAGAGCTTCAGGTCTCCATGCTGATTTGTGGGTCGTGCCTCTGCAGCAGGCTGGCGCTGATCTGCAGGCGCGCTCGCAGCTGGGGGACACTCCCCTGACGCTGGCGGTTGCCGAAGGTCGCGCCGAAGCTGTTGGCTTCCTGCTGGAGGCCCGAGCGGATGCCAATGCCTTGGGTGCCTGCGACGCAGAGAATGCCGTCGACCTGGCGGAACGTCGCGGAAACGAGGCGGGATTCGACTCTATCGCATTTCTGCAGAGATGCCACTCCGAAACAAGAGCAATCATCTGATTCTTTCGATTAGGGAAATCAGAGGTATCCTGTGAACAAAGAGATCGATGCGACACAGATGTTGTGTTTGTGACACGCAGGACCTGGCCTCCATGCTGCGGGCGGCCGGAGCGCGCCCCAGCGGCAAGGTTCTGCGCCTCCGGGGGCTGAGCGCCCTGCGACCCCGGGACATCCCCACCTCTGCATCCACCTGGCTCACCAGCGGCGCCCCCACCCTGGCAAAGGACCAGGGAAAGCGCTACCACGAAGTGCTCCTTCGGGGGCGCTTCGCGAACCCACAGGTGGGATGGTTGAGTGCCCACTTCCAGGAAGGTGAAAAGGACGGCATTGGCGTTGGAGACAATGCAGATGGCTGGGGATTTGATGGCGAGCGATGCCTGCAGTGGCAAGCTGGAAAGACGCAGAAGGCAGGGAGGGCGGCGGAGGACAGTTCCTTGATGTTCCTTGCCCACAACAGCTTCTGCCAGGCAGCCCTCGCTCTGTGGAGACCCGGGGACGTCCTCGGCCGCAGCCCCACAGCTGCCATGTCCGTTCAACTTGCAGCCTTTCGCTGCTTTCGCCTTCGCTTCTAAAGAAGTACAGCCGATACAATTCCTGTAAGATGAGAACCGGCATCTAGCCGCAAGAACAGGGCATGTGTTGCGGACAGTTGTTTCTTGGAGCTACTTACTGTTGTGGTGTGGCATCTTTGGATCGATGTACACCGTTGTGCCTTTTCAGACCCAATCTGACATGCACCATGTCCTGCTTCCTGTCCTGTCTACACCGTGGGCCCGCAACAAGCAAGCCTGGAACATGCGTGGATGACGGGAAGCCTGGTTCCGGATTTGCAGGCAGTCCAGCTGACAAAACGCTTTGGCCTCCACAACGGGGAGTGTCTTCGAGCCTCTTTAGATAAACTCTAGGTCTTGCCTTGGACTTCGACGAGAGCACGATGCGCCTGTCGCATCAGGGCATCTGGCATGCAGAGGCGCCTCGGTAAGGAGGGGGGGGGAGTGGCAGATTTTTTTGCACATTGAGTTTTGAAAGGGAAGAGTCTTGGACGTTCCGGGGAGTTTGGGCCCATGCTGTAGGTGGTACAGATGATGAAGAGAGCCTCCAGTTGCAAGACCAGCGCACAGTCTTCACGCAGATTTCCTAGAGCGGCCCGTCACAAGGAAGCCTACCGGATGAAGTTTCAGGCCAACGGTCAGCGCTTGTGTCTTGGATCAATGAAGCACTTAAGTTACGCAGCTCGGCATTTCGGGTGCGTTCCGTGAATTGGGCCGTTCATCGCTTTCTATCACTGATCCAGAGGGCCTTGCTGTCCACGGCACAATGCAGCCTCGCCTGGGTTGTTCGCGTTTTGTGATGGTCTGCAAGCAACTGACGCGTTGCTGCGAGTACAACTTTGCACGATTATGTTGGTAATCTGTGCAGTGATCCACTCAACGCCCAGGTATCCAGCCGTGTCGATGATGGGCTTCTTCTCCGTGGCCATTTCCAAAAAAGATTGGAAGCATGCTCCACCAAACAAAAATTATCAGGCACAAGGGACTCAATGCTAATCCTGCTCTCTGGTTGTCCCTTGGTTTCAAGAAGGGAGTCACGCTGTCCTTTCCTAGAGGGTCCAAGTACTCCCTATTTTAGTACTTTAGGGCCTTTTTAGGTATCAAAAACCATAAATAAGGACTACTTGGACCCTTAGGGTTTGGTTTCAAGAAGGGAGTCACGCTTTCTAGTGCCGAGCTCGCGTGCAACCAGCGCATGCTTCGCGAAGTTGCTCCGAAAGTCTCCGAACGCCCCCAGATCCTCCTAAACCCTCAGGCCCTAAACCCTACCTTAACCCGGAAGAACCTACCTATATAAAGAAATCATAATGAGGAACCCGAAAAAAAAAGGGTAGGTTCTTGAGGGTTAAGGTAAACCCTAAACCCCGATAAACCCCCGATCCTCCTGCAGAGGCTTGGGAAAACGAGGGCACTTTTGATTGGGGCCTGGCGGCGGGGAGCTGAGACGCGCCAGGCGATCTGCAGGCGGGGCGGCCGGGGGAGGGTCTTGGGCTTTGGGGCTTTTTTGAGGATCCTGCTGTTTAGGGTACTCCCCTATTCATCATTGTCAAACCTCAATCTCAATAGTCCCCTTGAAGTGTGCTGGAGTTGGATCGCATCGGCCATATCCCTGCGTGTTCAGCCTGCGGGCGAAGTTTCGGGTTGTGGGCAAGGCGCAGGCTGCAGGGTTCAAGATGTTGGGTTAAGGATTCGGGCCGAGCTGAAAGGATGAATGGCTAAGCCCGAGACTCGCTGAACTCTCTGCCAGCCTCCGCACGCCTAGGGCAGAAGCACAGATGGTTTCAAAGTGACCCCCAAAGCATCTTCCCCAGGATGGGAGCCCGAAAAGCGCGCAAAGCTCCCCGAATTGCGTTGCTCCGCTGCCTTTCGTGCTCACAGGATCCGTCGATGCCTGGTGACCTCAGGCTGCCCGGGGCTGAGTTTCATGGGGGCCTTTTGAGGTCAGGGGGGTGGGTTTCGGGGTTTCTTGCAGCGAGCATCTACAGCCGAAGAGCGACAGGCGATGCCCGAGTCTCATCCCGGTAGAAAGCCAGGTCCCAACAGCAGCGAGCTATCGACTTCAGCAGGCTCCTTTTTTCTAGTGATATGATAGACCGCTGAAGCACAAGGCACGACTCCTGAGGGAAGATAGGACCGAAACGGGGGAGATCAAGGGCTTGGGAGCTTCAGGCGGAGGGCCCAAGGACATTCGGCTCTCAGACCCTAAGGAGGGACTCTAAATGGGGACCCCTACCCTATAATGGGCTATATCATGGGTATATAATAGCTATTATATTAAGGGTATTCAGCACCTTCTTGCCTTCTCGAGCTGACAGTCTTGCCCGGAGCCGACTGAAGCGCTGCTTCCGCTCTGAGGCCATCGCCTGGCCATTTTGGCCATCGCCTGCCAGCAATGCACGCCGGCTGTCATGCGAATTGACAGGATGTCAGGGCCCATGTCTGATTCACCATACAACAGCCTTCATGGAGCTTCGGGCAGAAGCTTTCCTTGCGAACACCTCGACTCTATGCGATGTGGGTCCTAACCTGTCTTCTACAGCCGTTTCACCGTAATATCTCCTGTCCACGGTCGGTCCTCAGTGACGAGCTCGCACCAGAGAAGTCCTTGTCCAAAGCCCCAGCCTCAGATTGCCCGAAGAGGAAGAAGTGACAACCTAGTACCTTGTGTGGCAGGGTGCTCTAAGCAGCACAAACTCGTTTGCCTAGTCGATCTCTGCCTGTTTCACCAACCTTCGGATTCGGCGGCGGGTGGTCCAGTGCTGCAGTGCTGCGGTGGCCGAGGCCGCAGCTGCACCAGCCTCCTTCAGAGCTTTGCGTGGCTGTCGGATCTTTCTTTGTGTTGCCCGCCCCCAATGGGCGAGTGGCTGTTGTACAGGCGCAGCATTCCGTCCGCCAACCCTGGTGAAGTCGCCGCGAGCTTAGTAACCACGGAGTGCATTGGCAGGTTGAGGTGAAGGCTGAAGACTCAGAGGATTGCAATGCATGAGCAAGGCTGCAACGCTCCCTTAGGGTCGACCCGTTCGAAGTTGACTTTCTGCTGAACACGGCCGCGTTTCTCGTGGCTTTCCGTGACTCCCGCCGCCCGACGCGAAGCCACCTGAAAACCGTCGGATTCCCCCCTTCAGAGGCTGCTCAGCTGCTCAGCTGCTGAGCTCGCCAGGCGCCCAGAGGTAGGGTTTAGGGTTTAGGGGTTCAGGGGGTTTAGGGTTTAGGGTTTACCCCTAAACTCCGCCAGCAAAATCGGCTCCCCCCACAGCTTGGTGGAGAGTGAAGTGGATGTCCGCAATTGGTCGGGATGTTGGCAGCTGAAGGGATGTTGGAGGATATTGGAGTCTCTGGCTCGAATGTGTAAAGAGAAGGATGCAACCACAGAGTTCCTGAGCTGTTGGAGCTGGCGATGTGGAGCCTACCAGCCTGGCTCGCAAGTGGCAGTCCTACCTGTAAAGCGTGGCCTGCTTCAGCCTCCCCTCAAACTGTGTGCACTGCAAGTTCTGAGAACAGCGACTTCTAAACTCACCATGCTCCCGGGCAGCACTGAGGCTTTGGCAGCCTGGCGCCGGGGCAGCCAGACTGCCGCTGATACGAGGGTGCAGGCTGCTCTTGCCTACATCGCAACTTTTGCGGTTGTCAGCGTGCCGAGTCGGTCATGGGTGAGTTTGAGGGAGCACAGGAATCATTGCGAGTTCGGCTGCGGACAGAAATCGTGCCAATCCTGGCAGGTCCTGGGCTGCAGGACCCACGCCGCGGCTGGTGTCATAGTCGAAATACCCATGGTGTGACGTTCGTGCTTCGATGGCCAAAGCGGCGACAGGATTCCAGCTGATTCTTGTTGAATCTCGGAGAGTGTCCATTCATTCGTTTGCACGTGAGCCCAAGGTGTCGTTAAGATATTCCTGCTTAGCTTCCGGCAATATGAACAATCGTGTCATGTTTGGGAACGTATGACTTGCACCCCAGCTTGAGCCCTGTGCTCCCCTCAAGCCAGCACCCCACTTCGGGGCTGTCCAGAAGGACTTTGAGTGCCCCCCCTGTGTGCAGGTTCGGCCCAGCCCGGCGGTTCATGTGTGCCCTGAACCTAACGTATGGACTTAGTAACTCGGGTTATTTTGAAGGTAATTGTACTTAGAACTACTTCTAACCCCAATTTGGGTACTTATAACCTTACTTACTAAGTCCCAGGATCCTCCAAGTAGGGTTCTGGCATTGCAACAAGGTCTGTATCATTATTTTGGGAGCCCCAAAGATCCTTTGCGAAAGCCAATCCTATCTTCGAACGAATTCCACAGATGCCCTCCAAACCTTAGGCACCAATGCTTGCATGCTTTTTTCGGAGGCCTCGCTCCAAGACATCCTTATGAACAGCAAGGGTTGCCTTTAGGCGGATGCAATCGAAAGCTTCCAAAGCCTCCGACCGATTCAGACCTTGCAAGCCCGAGTCTTATAAGCGTCTTTAATCCAGACCCTGCGTTGCGCTGCCGAAGTGGAAACTTCAGCAAACGAAGCCCAGCAAATCATTTACACGACCCCACGAGCCCTCAGAACTTTCAAGCTTTCGATAATCACTCAGACAGCGCCTGGCCAGTTCCGAAACCCCTAAAATAAAGCCCTAAACCCTCAAGAAGCATTGAAGCTGAAACCTTAAAGCCTAGACCGTTGCCCCTCACCCCTCAACCCCAGACCTTGCAAAGTCCATTGATGCCGGGGCATGCCGTCCTGCGCAGCACCGTGCTGGTCGGGCTCCAACACATAATATGAAGGGGGCTGAATCACAAGAAACAGTAGTCCCTTTCCCTCGGTAGTGTTCAATAGGAGTATAATTTGCTGCAATGTTCATTGGTTGCTAAAGTATTTCTGTATTGTCTCTGTAATGTACCCCAAAGCCTCATTATCGTCATTTTCCCAAAATGGGGCTGGGTTTCCCAGAGAGCTCAACATCATTTCCTACATTCAGAATTTGAGGAGTTTGTATATTGGGTCACTCAATCCTATGAGTTGAAGAATAAATCGAGGAGTATACCCATTCTCGTAATCTTATGATTTGAGGTCTGTGCCATTTCTTTCATTGGGGGATGTTGCGCTTCTGGGTTTGCATCTCAGAATTTGGGTGAATGCAGGTTCGTGCGTCCTGCTGCAATATATATATATATATATATATATATATAATATGTACATGTCCGTGTCCATGTCCGTGTCTATGTCTATGCGTATGCGTATGTATATGTATGTGTCCACGTAAATGTATATGTATATGTATATGTATATGTATAGGTATATGTATATGAATATTTATATGTATATGTATATGTATTTTTATCCAACGGGCTGCAAACAGGACTTTGGTGTTGACACAGGCAAGCTAGAGCCAGCAGGTCCATGGTCGTCACGGTATACAGATTGTTCCGGTTCGCTGAAAAGCTTTTGCTCCTTGCTGCCTCCTTTGGTCATCGCTCCCAGCTTCTTTGTGCAATTCCGAAGCAAAATGAGATCATGTACGCTTCCCCCAGCTCGTAGAAGCCTGCAGCCGAAGCCCATATTTAACAGCCCCTAAGTCCCAGATCCTAAGCAGTGTGAAGCTATCACAGGGGTTCGACAGAGCTAGTTGGACTTGCGAAGGTTCCTTCCTTGCTCAAGTTCTAGACGAGTATTCTCCTTGGCCTCTTGTAATTTCAGTGCAGTCTTTTGACGAGCATGTGGTTTTCACAGGATGGCAACGCTGATGAGAACACTGATGACAACGACGACCGACAGTAGCGAGGATGATCATGATCATGTTGATGGTGATCTTGACGGTGATGTCGATGTTGATGTTGACGTTGATGCGGATGATGATAGCACTGGTGCCGTAGCACCATGCAGAGTCGGTGGAGTGCAGTTCGCAAACCGGCAGGTTGGCTGGCTCCTGGGTCCGAAGGCGGAGAAGCAGGCCATCACCCTCCCACCTCACGCTTTTGTCCTGAGAGTTTGGGCCTGCGCCTCCGGTCATTTCGGGTTTAGGGTAGGTTTAGGGCCTTGTAGTGTTTGGGAGCTTGAGCTGGGCACTGGGAGTCCATGTTCCGAGAGCCTACCGGTGATGATTCGAATCCTTTACAAATAATCCTAACAATACCAACAATACTAATCATACTAATAGTACTAAGAATACTAAGAATATTACTTCAAACACTTCAACTTCCAAACCCTAGCGCGAGAAGATGAGAGCCCCGGCCGCAGGCGGACAATGCCAAGTTGCACCTCACCGGCCAGGTTCGGGTCCTGTTTACAAGGGGGGGCGGACCCGGAAGTTCCTACGGTTGATGATATAAATCCTGCATTACCCATAATAAGGAATAGACTTTAATTCCCATAAATTAAACCCTTAAGGTAATGCAGGATTTATATTACAGCAGTTTTGTCTGGCTGCGCAGCAGAGCTCGACAGTTTGGTTGCGCAGCAGTGCTCCGCAT